GGAGGTGATAATGAAAATGAGGTCTAGATTTTTTAAAAAACTAAGAGAAAAAAAAAAAAAAAAAAAAACACTTGTAAATATAAAATATTTACTTTTTAAGAAAAAAATAACCTTTGGAAAAATAACATTTAGAAAAACAAAATATGAAAAAACAAAACCTAGAACAAAAAATGTTTATTTTTTCCCCCACAAATTTTAATCTGTGTTGTTTGCTAGTAACAATAATGTAACAAAATTTACCACATTATTGATGCATTTAGTTTTGTTTTTTCCACGAGAATCAGACTGAATGAAAAATATAAAAATTAATGTGACAATCACATGCGATGCAGAAAGCATCTGGAAGGTCTATACGACTTCAGGCCATCTATCGTTTAAAAAATCCTCAAGAAATCAGTTATATGGAGCTCAAAAGGGCAAATAAAGTTTGTTCAAAAAAAGTTTTTCTTTGTTTTAAATTGATACTAGAAAATCAACGTGGAAACTAAAAAAAGGACTTAAATCTAAAAATAAACCTTTAAAGCTACTTTTTTAGACTCAAGTTGTCTTTTTTAAATATATATTAAGGCTCTTTTGTTTTCATTGGAAATGTAGACATACAGAAATATATGCATATATGTGTACAAATGTTGGCGCAGGGATATCCCTGTGCACCTTTTCCTCCTTTTTGCACCTTCTTTTGACTATTGAGCTGATGTATCTGTCCAAAGCGATGCTCTGATCAACCAGCGTTCCAGGCGACTGGTTGGTCAGAGAACTGATTGGATCAGTCAGAAAAATAAGCCAATAAGTTTCAGTTTACTCTTTTAAAGTCTCCTCATTTTGCATCAGAAAGTTTATCCATGTCTAGTGAGGGTGAAGAATGATGGCGTGCATGTGTGGCGCACGGTGCAGCCAGGGGCGTCAGCTGACCCAGTACTATACAGGGGCACAATAGGGCACCAAATAAAATGCGAGCTCACAGAGCACGTGAGCAAAAAACATTTTGGGCAATTATTTATTTTATAAAAACATGGGCAGAGATAATTAATGCAAGCACGCGAGCAAATATTTTATGGCACTTATTTATTATTATAAAGCATCATAAATAAATTGTACAATAAGATTGTTATTTTCTGCATTATGAAATATCTACCTGAACCAAACTGAATTAAATTGGCCCTCTTGTGAACTTCACTGTATATCTCTAATCCACTACTGATGAAGGCACAATTTATCTTCATTAAGCATCTCCCTGAAATGAGTTTTTGGAACTTAGAACCAAGCAGTGAACATGATGTCAGTGCGGCTGAGGAGAGACATGGCAAGAGAGATGAGAGCAGAGAGCAGGAGGAAATAGATTAC